GGGAGTTTTTCCTCTCCACTGTCGCTACAGGCATGCTTAGTGTGAGGGATTGCATTAGAGTCAATATGTCGATGCAATCAACTGGTTTTTATTAGATAGAAAACTTTGAATCAGTTTAACTGGATGAATTGGTGAACTGTAAAGTGCCTTGAGATGACACCTGTAGTCCTTGAATATCTAAATCTTCAATAAAGCATATATCTAAACCTAGTGTCCGTTTTTAAATTGTCCTTGACAGTAATTTAATTCGGGGGCCACTAAAATATCTTAATTTACATAAACATAAAGCAAATCCAACGCTTTTATTTCAAATAAAAATAGTCCAGCCATGTAATGAGTGACAAGTCTTCAAGTATTTCTGCTAAGATTAGATCAATAAAATCTATTTATAAAATCAGCTTTGTAGTAAATAATGACAATAATAGGAAGAAGAACGAATAACCATAAAGACAAACAGGACTTGTTTTTACTTGAATAGTTAGCTCGTCATGCAGCCTTCATGGCTAGCTGCACATTAGCCTGCTGGGTTATTATTTTTCACTCCTGCGCCATAAATAAACTTTAATATTTACCTCTGACTCGGTCTCTGATGCACTGAATGGAGTTTATGACGTTTCGTAAAGACACTGACAAAGATCCATCACAGTTTCCAGAACTCATGATCCCGAAAACAAACAGCTCCTAGCAAAAAATGCTAGTAGCCATGTTATGGAACTGTCGAAGGGCGGAATGTTGATCCGGGGGAAGATAATTAGTGAAACACGCCCCTGAGAAGCTGGCTAGTCAGGAAACACGCTTTCTTTTTTCTTTAGTAAATAAATCCAGAAAAAACTTGTATGTCATGATGGAAAGAATATTGAAATATTCATACTTTCTCAGTTTACATTTTAGAAAAAAAGCTATTTGATTTTTTGGTTTTTTGCTCAATTTTTGTTTTTTTTACTATTATGTTCTTTTTACCAGGGCCATGATGACTTGGACGTAGTAAAATCCATTCTGCACGTACAACACTGATAATATAATCCATGAAGCACACACCTTGTCTACTTCTAAAATAAGGTTTAAAACTTTCCTTTTTGATAAAGCTTTTAGGTATACAGCCTCAGGTTAGCTTTTTTTTTGTAGTTATGCTGCTATAGGCTTTAATATCTTCTGGGAAAAGAAATACCTCTTCAAGAGAGACACATTTCCCCTGAATAGATCAGGTGCAAAACTTTTGGCTTCCAATATTTTCTATTCACTGAACAAAGGAAGTAACGTGAAAAGCCCAACCTGGCGGGAGAGAACTTCCATCCCAAAAGACATCTTATTGCCTCTATCCAGGGGTTGATATACAATAAGGCA